AGACTGGAAAGATGGGCTGACTCCAAGGGAATGAAGTTCAACAAGGCCAAGTGCCAGGTCCTGCACTTTGGCCACAACAACCCCCTGCAGCACTACAGGCTGGGGACAGAGCGGCTGGAGAGCAGTCAGGTGGAAAGGGACCTGGGAGTGCTGATTAACAGGAGGCTGAACATGAGCCAGCAGTTTGCCTAGGTGGCCAAGAAGGCCAATGGCATCCTGGCCTACATCAAGAACAGTGTGGCCAGCAGGAGCAGGGAAGTGATCCTTCCCCTGTACTCTGCATTGGTGAGGCCACACCTTGAGTATTGTGTCCAGTTCTGGGCCCCTCAGTTCAGGAAGGATATTGAGGTGCTGGAGCAGGTCCAGAGAAGAGCAACGAGGCAGGTGAAGGGACTTGAGCACAAGTCCTATGAGGAGAGGCTGAGGGAGCTGGGGTTGTTTAGTCTGGAGAAGAAAAGGCTTAGAGGCGACCTCATCACTCTCTTCAACTACCTGAAGGGAGGTTATAGCCAGGTGGGGGTTGGTCTCTTCTCCCAGGCAACCAACAATAGGACAAGGGGACATGGGCTCAAGCTCTGCCAGGGGAGGTTTAGGTTAGATGTTAGGAAGAAATTCTTTACAGAGAGGGTTATCAGGCATTGGAACGGCCTACCCAGAGAGGTGGTGGATTCACCATCTCTGGAGGTTTTTAAAAAGAGATTGGATGTGGCCCTTAGTGCCATGATATAGTAATTGGAGTTGGACTTGATGATCTCGGAGGTCTTTTCCAACCCAATCTATTCTATGATTCTATGATTCTATGATCTATGGCTGTGGAAAAGGTTTGACTCATGAGACCAAAGCCCCTGAAAAGTTTTATGCCTTGGTTATTTGTAAGTAATAACAAGTGATCTGGCTGTACTGTCTTCTCTTTTTCTCTGAGTTGAAACACAGAGACTGCTTGACTGCTCTTGTGCTTCTGCAAGGAAGCTGGAGAGAGACTCTTTGTCAGGAACTGCAGTGATAGGACAAGGAGTAGCGGGTACAAATTGAAAAAGGGGAAAATTATGTTTGATAATAGGAAGAAATTCTTTACTGTGAGGCTGGAGACATACTGGAACCTCCCAGAGAGGTTGTGGATGCCCCAACCCTGGTAAGCTGGGCAAGGCCTTGAGCAACCTTGTCTAGTGGGAGGTGTCCCTGTCCATGGCAGGGGCAGGGCTGGAAATACATGATCTTTAAGGTCCATTCCAACCCCTTAACATTCCATGACTCTATAAAATGCAAGGAGATCTGCCTCACATTTCCTCAGCTTTCAGTAATTAGGGCATTGATTGTTTTCCCTCTCTTTTTGTTTTCCTTTTCAGAAAATAATCTTTGGCTTTTTTGCTTGAGAAGATGGGGAAACTCCTTATAAGTAGGACCTCTATACAAACAGCATTAAATTACTCAAATCAGTTACTTAATTTTATAAGTCTTGACACAACAACAGAGCTTACAACAGGGGATTTAACCCCTGTAACTACTTTTTTTTTTTTTTTTTGCTAGTTCTCACCACCATTGTCCATCTAAGATTTGAAGCATTTTATTTCTATACGGTGGAAAGGAAGTTAGTTAAAGTAACTGACATTCTGTCTAGCTGAAAAAGCTGAAAGGCCACCAGTTCAGGTGACAAATCTAGTCCTGGGGAGAACTTCTGTGAAGGTAAATAAGTATTTTCCAAATTAATATGTTCATCCCATGTTTGAACAGGAAGGAAAGGTTGGAAATCATTTGCCTATGGTGTTGCAGGCTGGAGAAGAATTTGACTGCAAGAGTAAAATTCTGAGAGGTAAAATCAGGATCTGAAACACGGCAGTGGGTTGCACTAAGGTACTCTGCCCTGCAGCTGTCTGTCCAGGAGATACCGTGTCTGTGAGGTTGTACTTTGATCCCTTGAGCAGCTAAGAATTACAATCTGAAAAATGTTATGCCCATTAACATTTACCAAAGAAACTCAATGAATTAAAAGACTAAAAAGCAACCCTTTTATGTGCAAAGGTCTGTTGTATGCAGAAAGGCTACAATGGTGATTGAGTTCAGAGTGTGCAGAACTTTAAAACCAGCATGGTGTGATCTGTTTTATTAAAAAAAAAAAACAACAAAAGACAAAAAAGGAAAAAAAGAAAAAAGAATGAACTTTTTTGTTCTTTTATTTTTTGTTTCGCTAATTTGAAAGTGGAGAGGTGGATAAACATCACAGTTGATCAAATCTCCAACAGAGATGCTTGCCAAACCAATGATGGTTGTGTAAGTTCATTGCTATTGGTTTCTTTTTTCTTTCCTCAGCGGTGGAGCAGTCAAAATTATGTATTTTCACTCTTTAGGATACATATCTATGTTTTACAGATATACAGGTAGGTCCTAAGCCTTGATGCTGACATTTTTGCACAGTAACTCTCCCTGTGTGCTCCATGGAAAAACAGGGCTGCTGTAGTCTGAGAGCAGCAATCAGGAGTTTTTGCCAAGGAGATGGGAGTTGGCATTTCTTAGAGAGCTCTACAACACACTTGAGGAAAAAAAAAGTCTATCCTAGAAATGAATTTCATTTATACTGGCTCGAGAGAAAGGCACCTCCAGGAAGATATACACACATGGCAATTTTTCCATCTGAAAATTCCTTTTGCAAATTGAATACAAAACAAGAATAAAGTTCATGTACAAGTAACATGATACAAAACAGAAGAGAAAAAAAAGTAGTTCCAGTTACATCAATCAGAACAAAACACCAGGCTGTGGCTCCCTGAGGATGGACCCAGCATTGTTCCTGCAAGCAGCAGGCCCTCCTCATGCCCTCACCCACTTGCTTCCACCCCAGGTTGCCCCACACTGACCACCAGCTAATGCAGCAAAAAACAATGAAAAAACGTTTTGTTTTTCAGTAGAAATAGCTCCGTGTTTTGGCTTGCCATGTAAGCACACAAACAGCTGGAATGGTGTCCTTTGGCAGTGGTGCCAATTTAAACTGTGCACGGAATTACACAGGCTCTCAGAGAGGAGCTCTGGGAAGGATTAACAGAAACTCCTCAGTGCCTTGTGCTCTGAGGGGGCTGGTTTTGTCACTGGTATTCAGACTGCCAAAGCAGATGCTGCTTTCATGTTGAGGAAAGGAATCCCTGTAGATTCACACACGTTTAGTTTCCATCACATGTCTCTATTACAGGGGTGATGTTCCTGACACTCCTGTGGAGGTAAGAGGGTGTTTTCCCACCACTTCCACATTTAATATGAAAGGCATCAGATTAGAAGATGAACAAATGGAGGGTGAGTCAGGGAGCAGAGCATACAATTCAGTTCCCTCAATGTAGGTATCAAAATATCATTCCTTCAAACACAGCATACTGAGCGTTTGCCTAGGGGGTCTGGAACACACAGAATACATACTGCTGCCCCTGTTTTGCTCATTTAACTCCTCTAGTTTTTGCTTCAAGTCCAGAGGAAACTGTTTTGAAACCTTAAGTCAAAATTGTGCCCCAATCCAGGAAAACCAGTGCAGGTTTAGCACTCACAAGCCCTCAGCTGCACTTCTGCACCAAGGCAGAGACAGCATCACACAGAGGCAGCAACTGCCCCTCCCTTTCCTGGGCATCATCCTGAATTGGTGAGGTCAGTTCAGCTTCTCCACCGCCAGTCTCAGAGGTGCTGAATGCCATCCTTGGTGGAAGGGGGACAGGTGATCTGAAATCATATCCCACTCATCCATTTGGGAGTCAGGATATTATGAAGCAGGAAAGTATTTTTCAGTGGGAGAGGTTCAGCTGTGACCTAAAGAGTCAGTTCTGCTACCCCTTGTCCAACTCTTGAGGGCTTTATTATTAAATGATTTCTCTTGGCAGCACTTCCTGGGCCAAGAATACTTTTGAACAGACTAATACCCACTATAGCAGAAGAACTTCTTTCTGAAAGCCAGTGTGGTTTCAGAGCCGACAGGAATACCACAGACATGGTATTTGTTCTTAGACAACTGCAAGAGAAGTGTAGGGAACAGAACAAAGGTCTCTATGTAACCTTTGTTGATCTCACCAAGGCTTTCGATACTGTGAGCAGAAAAGGTCTATGGCAGATTTTGGAACGTTTAGGTTGTCCCCCCAGGTTCCTTAAAATGATCATCTCCATGAGGATCAGCATGGCCAAGTCAGATATGGCAATGCACTTTCTGAGCCCTTTCTAATAACCAGTGGTGTGAAACAAGGCTGTGTTCTCTCACCAACCTTATTCACAATCCTTTTCAGCATAATGCTCCAAAGGGCCATGGCAGACCTCGATGAAGAAGATATTGTACTGATGGAAGCCTATTCAACCTAAGGCAACTGAAGGCCCACACTAAGACCTTAAACCATCTTGTCCGGGAGCTGCTTTACGCTGACACCGCTTTTGTCACCCACACAGAAGTAGCTCTGCAGCGTTTAGCATCCTGCTTTGCAGATGCTACTGAGCTTTTTGGGCTGGAAGTCAGCTTGAAGAAGACAGAAGTTTTCTATCAGCCTGCACCTCGCGAGGTCTTCCATCATCCTCATATCACCATTGGTGATTCAGAGCTCAAATCAGTCCAGCAGTTTAATTACTTAGGTAGCCTCATCTCCTCAGATGGTAAGATTGACGGGGAGATAGACAACAGGTTAGCAAAGGCATATAGTGCTTTTGGAAAACTCCATAAAAGAGTATGGTATAATAAACACTTGAAGAAAAGTACAAAGATCAGTGTTTACAGAGCCATAGTGCTGTCTGCTCTTTTATATGGGTCTGAATCATGGGTCATCTACCGCCACCACCTGCGACTCCCAGAATGCTTCCATCAACGCTGCCTCTGTACAATCCTAAACATCCACTGGGCAGATTATGTGATCAATATGTCAGGCAGCAGTTATGAGTATTGAGGCCATGTTGCTGAGAACACAGCTGTGTTGGGCAGGGCACGTCTCAAGAATGAAGGACTCCTGCCTCCCTAAGATCATGTTCTGTGGTGAACTTGCCACCGGCTGCCACAAGAGAGGAGCCCCGAAGAGAAGATACAAGGACTCCCTGATGCAACATCTCAGCCTTGGCCACACTGATCTTCATCGCTGGTCTACCTTGGCCTCCAGTCAGGAGGTCTGGAGACACACCATCTGTAATGCTGCTGCTTCCTTTGAGAACGCACAGGATCACCCTCGAAGAGAAAAGACAATGCAGAAAGAACCGTGTCTTGCTGATACCATCCAAGGAGTCTTTCTGCTGTGCTTTTTGCAACTAGACTTGTCTTTCTCGCATTGACCTCTTTAACCACTAGTGTGCTTGTAGCAAATGTGGATAGAGTCCTTCCCAAATTTTTGTTTGCAAAGCCTAACGACTTCCTGGGCCAAAATTCCAGGTGCTTAGGAACGGCAGTAAGACACATAAGATCCACTACTAGTTTGCTGAGATCCCACTGGTGTGGCTGGCCTTTTCAGTCCACCCCATGGTTCACTTATTCTCACTTCATCTGTGTGTCAGTGAGGATGCTACAGGAAACAGTGCTGGAAGTCTCGCCAAAGTCAAGATAGACAACAATCTCCTCTTCCATCAAGCCAGCCATCTCTTCCTAGAAGGCAATCTTAAGTCATTGTTTTTCTTTTGTATATCCATAAATTGATAATGACTGCTCTCAATCAACCTTTTGTCCTTAAAAAGTTCAGGAAAGTCTTTCAAGGTGGTTCCTTCAGTCATTCTGTCTGAGTTCTAGAAGCATTTAGACAGCACTCTGAATCACATTTTGTGATTCTTGGGGATGGCCCTGTGCAGGGCCAGGAGTTGGACTTGACGGTCCTGATGGGTCCCCTCCAACTCAGAATATTCTGTGATTATATGATTCTGTGTAAGACTGACCAGCATGTGTTTCCCCAGATCCTCCTTCTTACCCCTCTTGCAAACAAGGGGGTCATTTGCTTTCTTCCAGTCTTAAGGAACCTTCCCCAGCTGCTAAGACCTTCTGAAGAAAACTGCAAGTGATCCTGCAGTTACATCAGCCAGCTTCCTTAGCACCCCTGGGTGTGCCCCATCAGTATATTAGATACACGTACTGGGATATGACAGTATATTTATTAGATTCATATTTTGGTACATATTTTTTCTGATACATATAATTTTTAAGCTAGACTATGTTTGTAGAAGGTGCTGTAATGCTCCATTAAGTGAAAACAGAACTGTTTTAATGACAGTGACCTTTCAATATACTGAGTCACCGTGACTCTTGTGTCAGCCTCAAATATATCTTTTCCAAGTAACTTCCTTGGAATGATGGTGTCAGATGAGGAAAGAGAAATAGGCCAAAAGCTATTGGAAAAATCTTGCTATTGTGCAAACAGAGGTGTTTGGATAAATGAGGTTTGTGGGTACCAAAGGAGAAAAAGAAAGCAAGCAAAAAAGAACCCTGAGGGGGTCTACAGGGAAGATATAATTTTTTAAATTATTCTCAGGACTTTTCTTTGCATAATCACTGTCCCTGATAACAGAGACTCAGACCTTTGATGGATCTACTGCTATCACATTCAGCTCTGAAACTCACAGTGAGGACCCAGGGAGGCTGGAGCTGAGATTTCAAAGGAGCCCATAGCGACACATTCCAGCTGGGCTGCAGCCAGGATTTCAAAATCAAGCTAAGCAGGAAAAAGAATAATTCTTAAAAGGAGTAAATATGGGTGCCCCTCTGGGGGCCTTAAGAGAAGTTGAATGCTTTTGGCACAAATCCAGCATGCAATTACAAAATACCTCACAAAATCAACTGTCCACACAATCCCTTTGGTTACCTCCCATGAGAGGGGAAATGCTTTAAATTTTGCCCTTCAGTTTGCAGGTATTCACTTTGTACATTTCTGAGGAGGAATACAAAAGTTTGGTTCTTTGTTTCTCCCAATGATAGTTAAAGTTTCAAGTGACTACTAATAAACTCCACAAATTGTGATTTGTAGTTACTGACCTCCACCAGGCCTGTCCCACATCATTCTGTATTAAAAGCATCCCTAACTATCTGCACATTTTGGGTGTTTCTCTCAAATTAACCTGATCCCAGTAGGTCAAAGTAAGTCCAAATGTTGCTGTGATCGTTGCTATGGTTTTCCTAAGCTAGCTACAGTTTATGGATTTTAAACTTTTATCAGGACATAGTTATAACTAAAATAGCGTAGCACTAGAAGGAAGTTGGAAACAAAGATCCACCCAGCTGGGAGCAGTTTGATTGCTTCCTAAAATAAAGACCAAAGCAAGAATAAGAGAAATTCCTCAGTTTTTCTCAGACAGAAGATTTCCAAATCACTATTTCAGTATCCATTGGGTCAGTAACAGTGCATATCCAGTTGTAATAGCAGTTTCTCAGGATCCACAGTAATAAAAGTACATAGAAAATTACTTTATCAGGCCTATTCAGAATTTTACAAGTTTGTTAAGCACTCTGACATCCTACGGTGGAAAAATTAATGCAATTTTTATATTGTGAAAGTGGAAACTGATTCAAAAGCCTAACCCAAAGGAGAGTCAAGAGCCTGAAATACATGTAGAGTCTAAGTAGAACAGGACAATTTGAAAGAGGATAAATGTAGGAGAGAATAATGAATAATGAATAATGAATCATGAATCATACAGGGAAGCTGAAAGGGTAAGGATTTGATCTATAACGCAGTGCAGGAGCTGTGGGACACAGTGATTTCAGTCAGCCCACAAAGTGTATAAGGCAGCAATTTTAAAATAATGACCAAAATAGAAAAATAAGTGTGCTTTCATCTATCTCCTGTAAGGGAGGAAATGTGGAATTCATTGCCACGCAGTGCAGTGGAGATTGAAAGGATAAATGGCTCCAAAAAGAATTTTTACAAGATGTCAGTACTAGGGTTGGTCTGGAAATTTCCAGATTTGTTAAACCTCCAGACTACCACCTGGAAGATTACTGGGTACAGCAAGGAAAGGACCATGCAGTTTGTTCACAAAAAAAAGTACTTTCTTGTAGGAGACAGACCTTCTCTCTGATCCAGACAAGCAAGTCTGGAACGGAGCAAGCACCAAACAGTAATAAGCACTGGCAGCAGCAAATTTCTCTCCTGTAATTTATATTTCCTCAGCATGACTGTCTCCAGGCCTAAAGGTGGAGCAATTCTATGAGAACCACCACGATCAGTGTGTAAGGTGTTCTCCTTCCATATTATGTTTGGACCCCCTTTGTGCCAGGCAGAAAAGGTCTATCCCAGGCTGTGGAGCAAGGAAGAATTTGGCTCTGTGTACTTTACTGTTTCCTCTGAGTTCTGACATGGACATCAGCCTACCTGCACCAATAAATGGCACAGAGAGAAAAATCCTGATCTTCCTGCCAGCTTTAAATGTTGAAATTGTTCTCAGAGGGCTGATCCAAAACTTACTAAAGTCCTTCATTGTCAAGGGGGCTCATGATGAGTTTGTGCTAGAGAGGAAATCCCAGGAGACTTCTTCCACAGACAGACAGACAGACAGGAGAGCATGAGATGATTAGTACGAGTATTTCAGTTTCCCCTGTTAAGCAATGGTTTAATAAAAGCATTTTTTACAAATATTTCACAATAACCAGAGGATGTTACACTGGCGGTTTCACATTCAAAACAGCTCCACAGGCATCAGCAGATGAAACTAGTTGGCTGAGTGAATGGAGCTACAAACCAAAACAAACAGACCCTGGCTTCAAGTGGCAGTAACAATCTTGCCAATAATTTATGTTTTTCATAATAAAATAACACCGGGCAATCCCAGAAAACCCATGTGAAGTTACTTGCTATCTTCATCATATCCTTGCTATCTTCAAATATCCTTCCAGGATGTGATTGCAGGGCAGGGCTTTCCCTGTGGGACAGCGCTGTGTGTGTGCAACCCAGTGGCTTCCCACATGTGTGTGTTCATTTGGTTCACACCTTGTACTGTTGCAACACAAGGGATGGGATAATGCAGGCCATTTGGGCCCACAGACTTCAAAATCAAGAGATAGCTGGTGCATTTTTTGCTCTGCAGAGGTAGCAGGTGGAAGAGCCTGTGTATGTCTGGCAGGGAGGCTGTGAGAAGAGGCATCCTAGAGGAGTGTGGGCATGCTGGGAACTCATCCCAGGTGAGGGTCTGGCTGCTGGCACGCAGCACTTACTTGTCAAGACAGCAGGAAACATGCAGGACCACTCACCCTCACTGCTCATCCTCACTTTCTGCTTTTAGATGTTCTTGAAAAGAGTCAGAGGAAAGTCTGGGAGTCAGGGCTGCAGCCCTTTGCTTCTTAAATGTTACATTTGGAGGTGTTCAGACTTCAACCAGCTACTCTCTCAACTCTTCACTGTCAGAAAAACTCAACATAAAAAAAATTTCATCTCTCCCAGACAAAGGATGTATATTGCTTGTTTGTTTGTTTGTTTCTCAAGCCCAAGGACTCATGAAATGCTGCAGTAAATTTGCTCTCTGGGTAGCAAGAGGATTTGTTAAAGAGGTTTCTTTATCTTCTTTTATTTTTGTTTGTTTTCTTCTTCTTCTTTTTTTTTCTCTTTAATTTTACTTTTATGAAGTATTCATGTTTATTTCTATGCCTTGGGGGAAACTCAAGCCATTTGGCTGTTCAAGATAGCCACAGTCAAACTGAACAGCGTTACATCTGTGATGGGGGAAAGAGGCATCTATTTACAGTGCTGGGGATGTTAAACTTGGAAATTAGCTTTTTATTTTTATTTTTAACCTAGAATGGAGCTATGTATGGCTGCAGACATTTCTCCATTTAGACTACGGGTCTTTCCAGTAATTATGGCCCAAACCCAAGTCCCACTGACGTCAATGGGATTCTGTCCATTGACTTCAAGGGGAGCTAGACCAGGCCTTGCCTTGAGGAACACAGCCAAGGCAAGAAAAAGCCTTCTGCTTTCCCACCCAAGGAAAAACACTATGAACTTACCAGCACTTAGGGATCCCTCTGAGCTGTTCCTTCTCCTCCTACCTGCTGCTTTTGCATTACTTAAGGGTCTATCTACTCCCCTTCAGATTCTCTTGAAACTTACATTAATGCATCTCACCTGTAACACTGTCCCTTTTGTCCTCAAAGCTTGTTTGCAAAACACTTGATTGTAAAACCCCTACAACTGTGCTAATATCAGGTAGGATGCTGTCTGCCTTTCTGTGACATCCACACTTCTGCTGCCTTGTCTTTCCCGTTTTTTACTCTGAAAAGTTTCTGATGCCAAGCTGAAAAAAAAAAAAAAATAGGACTAACTGCTTATTGTCACACTTCCTAGTGTTTATATTTTTCACAAGTGTTTGTTCTGCATGCAATAGATACAGCTTTATAGGAAACTGGTATCTTAGCTGGTTGCTTCTCTGTTGACATCAGGTGAGTTTTCCTAAGGGATTCAGCAGAGAGTGAAGATCTACAGCAGGGCAGGGCAAGGCAAGGGAGACAGGATAATAGAAGTCGTTCACCTTCCTCTCACCAGCTCAACCCAATTAGCCCTGAGACATAGCACTAATTACCCTGGGCAAGGTGCCACACCTACCTGGCTATTCACCTTCCAAGAGTCAAATTGTATCACTGTGTGGTGCTCCGTGAGCAAACAGCTCACCCAGCCCTGGCACTGAGACCTGTAACACAGAGTACCATTGAGAGCAAGTGTTGACTCTGGAGGTAAAGGGGTTAATGGGAAAGGCTGACATGTAGGCTTGGCAACTCAAACCTTCAGCTCAGTGGGGCCGAAGGTTTGGGGATATGAGGGGAAAGTAGATGAGGTGAGAGAGAGGAGAAAGGCTGGAAGACATGAGGGACGTGAGACCAATTTTGGGGTTTGTAGGAGTTGTGCCTCCTGCCCTCACACCTTCTCATTCCTGTGACTTCCCATTGCCACTGTCCTTTGTGCATATCAGCCTCCCAGATCCCTGCTGCAAGAAATGGAGTGTGAGGTGAGAGGGTTGCTTCTGTCTCTATCCTAGATGCAAGACTAGTTTGAGGACCTTGGCAGATCTCTGGGAATACATCTAGACTTTCCAGACAACCCCCAAACTCTGAATGCTGCTTTTCAGAGGTAACAATTAACCTCCAGACATAAGCAAAGTAAGCCCTTTTTTTGGTCAGCCTAGCCAAAGCGATTTAGAGGCATATCCTCTGGTCCTTAGGACTTCAAAGATCTCCTGATCTTCAAACCTGTTGAGAAGAGGACTTCTGTAAGGAAAAGCCATATCCAGCAGGTGACACAGTGAGATTCCAGATCATGCTCGTAAAATTCTTTACAGCAGTGGTATAAGCCTGGGAAATTTCCAGCACATGATAAGCCCATGCCTCCCTTTTCACATTTGACAGGATTAGAAGTGGAACCATCTGCTGACCATGAGACAGGCAGTGGTCAACAGATCTGCGTTATTCCACCAAAGGTTTAGCAAAAGATAAACCAAAATGAGAAAATTACACTATTCTAAGCTTGTTTTTATTTTCTCCTTTTTCTACCTGAGAAAGTCATAATCTCCAGAGAGACAACCACGATATTCTGAAAGCAAGAAGAGAAAAAAATTACTTCTTACGATTTGTGGGACTCATTGACTCAGCACTGAAGAGCAACTCAGAAGTTCAACTACATAGGCAGGTGAACCAGGAAGAGCATAGAGATGAATTTCTCTATGAGGTTGTGTACAGTTGGGGCAAAGAAGGCCAAGGTGAAGCTGGAACTGAGTCTGACAAAGGGGAAAGAATATCAGGGCATTCTACAGGTCTGTTAACCAGAAAAGGAAGGTCAAAGAAGGTGTTTTTCCCCCAGTAAACAATGCTGGTTAGCTGGTAACAGGGCATGAGGAGAAGGCTGAGGTACTCAAAACTTAGTCTTCAATGGCAACCTCTCTTCCCACACTTCTTGAGTAGATGGAAAGCAGGATGGGGGCTGAGGGAGAAAAGTAAAGATCAGGTTTGTGACCACCTGAGGAACTTGGATGTTCATAAGTCTATGGGATTGATAAGATGCATCCCAGAGTCCTGAGAGAATCACTCTCCATGATATTTGAAAAGTCATGGCAGTCAGGTGAAGTACCAGGTGACTGGATAAAGGGAAACATTGTACCTATCCTTAAAAAGGGTAAAAAGATGACCTTGAGAATACCAACCTGTCATCCTCACCTCTGTGCCTTGAAAGATCATGGAACAGACCCTCTTGGAAGTTCTGCTAAAGCATATGGAAAACAGGGAGGTGATTTGGGACAACCAGCACAGCTTAAGCAAGGGCAAGTCCTGCCTGACCAACACAGTGGCCTTCTATGATGGAGTGACTTTATCAGTGGGCAAGGGAAGGGCTACAGCTGTCCTTTACCTGGAATTCTGTAAAGCCTTTGACATGGTTGCCCACAACATCATTCTCTCTAAATTGGAGAGAGATGGATTTGATGGATGGACTTTTAGTTGGATAAAGAAGTGGTTGGACAGTCACATCCAGAGGGTCGTGGTCAACAGCTCAGAATCCCAAGTGACCAGTGGTGACAGCTCAATGACAGTGGTGTCCCTCAGGGGTCCATACTGGGACCAGTGCTATTTAATGTCTTCATCAATGACAAAGGGATTGGGTGCACCCTCAGCAAATTTGATGACCCCAAGCATTGGGTGAAGTGACACACCTGAAGGACGGGGCCATCCAGAGAGACCTGGACAAGCTCCAGAAGTGGCTCCTGGGAATCTCATGAGGTTTAACAAGGCCAAGTGCTGGTGCTGCACCTGGGTTGGGGCACCCCTGGTATCAATCCAGGCTGGGGATGAGCAGATGGAGTAGCCCTGGGGAGAAGGACTTGGGGGTGCTGGTGGGGGAGAGGCTGGACATGACCTGGCCATGTGCTCTGGCAGCCCAGATATGCAAACATGCCCTGAGCTGCATCAAGAGCAGTGTGGGCATCAGGTCAAGAGAGGGAATTCTGCCCCTCTGCCCCCTCAGGTGAGACCCCACCTGCAGAGCTGCCTCCAGCCCTGGGGGGTCAGCACAACAAGGACATGGAGCTGCTGGAGCAAGGCCATATGAAGCACCAAGATGATGAGAGGGATGGAGCAGCTCTGCTGTGAGGAAAGGCTGGGAGAGTTGGGATTGTTAATCCCGAAGAGGAGAAGCGTTGGGGTGACCCAGTAGCAGCCTCACAGTACCTAAAGGAACCAACAAGAAAGAGGGAGAGAGACTATTTACAAGGGCATGGACTGACAGGATGAAAGGGAATGGACTCAGGTTGAAAGAGAGTAGGTTTAGATTAGATATTAAAAAAAGAACTCTTGAGTCATTAGAGTACTGAGGCCCTGGCACAGGTTACCCAGAGAAGCTGAGGATACCCCATTCCTGGAAGTGTTCAAGGCCAGGTTGGACAGGGCTTGAAGCAACCTGGGATAGTGGAAGGTGTCCCTGCTTATAGCAGAGGGTGGAACGAGATGGGCTTTAAGGTCCCTTCCAACCCAAGCCATTCTATTATTCTATGTTAAGTTTTCTCTTGCAGGGTTTCCAGCTCATGCAGCGTTTCTGTGGGGAACTAAACAACTGTTCAGGTACCTGCTTGGGCAAGCAGAAAGGACAAGGCAATGTAGTTACATTTTCTGGTTGGAGGTTCTTTCTAGTTGAAAACTCCTTACCCTGAACATATCCAATATTACAAGTACCAGTTTACATCAGTGTCCAGAGACCTGATATGAATCCAAATTCCTCTAATCTTGTACAAAAATACAAAGGAACAAACCACGTTTTTTTTCTGCAGAAATCTTCTTTTGTAAATGAATAACAACAGAAACAGTAGAAACAGGGAGTTGTGCAGTGAGTAGTACAGTGAAGCAATGAGAAGCAAAAATATTTCCAGGTGCAGACTGATGGTATTTCCATGGCAGCAAAAATCATGACAATCTACACTCCATGAGGATTTGACTCACTGCTGTCCTTTTAGATGGTACTATGGATGCATCTTCCAAATGCAGTTATTTTTATTTTTAATTACTTCCACAGTAAGCCAGTAAAGGGGGAAGAATTTAAAATCCTGCGTATTTTTTCTCAGTTTATGACTAGGACAAAGAGAAAAAGGGAAAAATAATTTTCATCACAGCTTCCTCTAACATGGGATAAATTTGTGTTTAATGTACACATCACCAAGCAGAGTTTTAGAAAATAGATGTAGATTTAGACAGCAATGCTGAGAGCAGCAAAGACTGAGATTTCTGGCCAAATTCTCACTCCTAAACCCTGAACAAGGCCAAGGGGAAGGTGATAAAGAATCATATGATATCAAGGTGAGAAAAAAATATACTAGTCTTTTTGCCTGACAGTGCAATACTGCATCCTCTATGCCTGATTCATTGGTTGAAACACAGAAAATGCTAATGCTAATAATAATAATAATAATATGCATCAAGTAATAATGGGCAGAATAATAGCGTAGCATAGTTCAGCTGGCAACGTTGGTGTTTGTGGAATTTTCCTCAGTATTCAGCCTAGCAAAGGGCAACTAGGGTTGTCCAGGGTTTCCAGACCGCATGCCACCAGGACCAAACACCATCAGTATACCTCTCTTCTCTAGCTCTAGGGGCTGAACCCTTCTGCTGGTCAGAGGGGAATCACTTTCATTCTTGCAGGTTGTGGGCGAAGGGAAAAGGAAGTGAGGGAGAAAGTACAGGACAAAAAAACACTGAGAAGCCCACAGAGGATGCTGTTATTACAATGTGGTTAAATTAGTGTCTGAAATCCATCTCGTGCTCTTAATCACTTATTGCCCTTGTTCCTTCACAGATCACAGTCATCTCTCAAAGTTTATTTTCTCCACTTCCTAGGAACTATGTATAGTTTTAGTAGAATTTGTAAATATCTAAAAGGGGTATTTTACTGTCAACAAAGTGATATAGGCCATTAATAGCTCCCAGGAGTTTTTTGTCCCTCTGAAGTAGCAAGATTAAAAACAGAGTTCTAAAGAGACTACAGTTTATATGGACTGTTGTCACATCTGACACAGAGGGGTTGCAGAAGCTGTATATTTACAAACTGGGGAATGTAAAAATAGTCAGATAAAATTCTTTTTTGTTCCTGTGATTGTCCACTTTGAGTGAATCCATTAGTCAACCAGTGTTAAGTCTGCTATAATTTTCCTTATATTCTTGTCCTGCTCTGGTTTTGCACCTGTTTAACAGAGATTCAAAGCTCAGAACCTGGCCCTAGATAGCTGTCAGTACAGACTCATGCGCTCATTGGCTGTTTCATTGTAAACAAACTGTTCGAAGAGTGAAGGCCAAGCTGTATTTTCAATTATGCCATAATATACCTGGGTTTTTGCCACTGCCTTTGTGGGTTACACTGACCTAGAGAAACTCGAATCAAAATAGAGTGAATTCCAAGGGGTATTTTAGGAGAGGCCTATTCTTCACTGGCTTTAAGAGAAATCAGTAGTCAGGCTCAGAGTGGGAGAAGTAAACAAGCATATATACACCCACTATTTCTTCTCCAGTTTTGACACTGTCTGTGTAATCCCAAACATCTGGAGCTCATTACCTTCCTTGGCCTCATTGAAATAATTGTTTAATTAGCTTCCTTTTCACTTTCTCTTTCTCTCTTCCTTTCTGTTTTCTTCAGCACCCAATTCCCAGATGCCGAGCTCAGTTTGAAAAACCCTACTAGAACTGAGATTCATCCATGGGAATTTGGTCTGTAAGAAAATATTTCTATTCAGTCTTAAACAAACATTCTCAATACTTATAGCATCCCATCATTAACAAGCTTCCATTCCCCACAGCAACTAAAACCATAGCAGTTTTTCTCTATTTTCTAGTAGCTGCTTACAAATTTTGAAGCAAGAAAGCCAAGAAAGGTACAATTATTTGCCTTATGAATCCTTATAATGGCCACTATTTACAGGAACTTTGAAAGCTAAATCCATGGTAAATCAAGGTTCCCTCTTGACTGGGAACTGAGAGGGCAGATCTGAAACCTCTTATCAGAACCTAATTAAGGAATAGAACATCCTCCTCGAATGGGAGATGGAGGCCATTCTCAGAAAAACAGAAACTGAATAATCCTGCCCAGAGCTGAAAATTGGAGTAGTCAAAAATGCTGCATTAGCACCACCAGAGCTCCAAACAATACATGCCTCAAAAAGACAAAATGGAAAATAAAAATATTTTTTTCATTTTGGCTATCCTACAAAAAAATAAGGGAATAAGGATGAAAACTTTTTTGTGGCATTATGACAGGTCCCTCTGTAATAGAGTGATGACACAGCTTCTGCCTGGAGCAGCCAGAGCTAAGCATACCCTAAGAAGTGTAAACCGAGACCTGGTGAAAAGCACATAGTTTCACATACCTGTACAAAGCCAAGCCTCAAACTACAGCATTTTTGAGTCTTTATTGCCATCTCTCACCACGGCAGATGCATGCTGTCTCTCTGTACCCCTGGGATGATCTGTTTGCTTAGGATCCCCAGCTGCTACACAAAGCTAAGAGCCAAATATGAACATGTCTGTGCAGATCTATGCCCCATCCTCACTGTCTCCTGACACTCATACACTGTCCCCTCTGCTCTTGTTAAAGATAAAACTCCTAAAACAGGAAAATGTGAAAAATTTTCAGTTCTCTACATCATCCTCCAGGTGTATTTGGCTTTCGCTTTGCAAAATTACACACACAGAGTAAAATGTAAATGGGTTGTTGCTACTTGTCATAGTTTTTTTTAGGTGGGGACACCTAAAAGCACATCATTTTCTCTAAGCAGTGGAAAGTTGGGGTTTTTTGAATTTTGTTTGTCTGAAATTCCTCTTTATACCAGCAGCAGAAAGGTTTGTTCTGGACCCCGGGGGATGCACCACTCATATTTGAGTTGCAACAAGCACTTAAGAGGTTGTCACTCTGAACTGAGCTCCCTCTACACAGGTCTAGGGCCATGTCTCTGGTGAAGGAACAGCTCACCAGCACCTACCACAGAACTCCCACCTGGAGAGATCCAGTCTCTGCTACTTTTCCTGCAAACCAATGCTGTCTTCTAACCCTTCACTCTGCAGAGAAGACAAATTTCTTACCAGACCAGAGAGGTTTTCAAGCATCATATTTCAGAGCTGCCCTCAAGACTCGATTTTTTGTTTCAGGAAAGGGTATTAACAGTAGCAGTTTTTATTGTCATATGAGGAAATACATCCTTCAGGAGACGCTAAGACTGAAGATTCTTAAGCAAAATTTGTGTAAACTGAGGAACTAAAACCTAGCCTCTGAACAAAAGAATTGCAACGTAAACAAGTACAGAAGTGCCATCCAGCCACCACAGTTTGACTTATGAGAGAACAGATGAAAAATTGTCATTTGTCTTATTGACTCCTTATGACTCTAAAAGGACTAATTTACTTTGAGTCTACCATATTTATAGAAATTACTGTAACCAAATTAGGTTATTATTACTTGCATTCCAGCAAAGAATTTGGAAGAACTTGGAAGAATCCCAAGGAAGAACTTGGCCAGAAGTAGAACACCTGGGCTGCATAAGTGGCAGAAGTTTCCTCAGCAGGAATCAAGACAATCAAACTGAGAGGTGGACAGTAAGCTGAGTAACACGTGCTCATATTTGTTAAAACATAGCAAGTAGGCTGAGAAGAGAGAAGTCTTCTGTGTCATCGCATCTATTAGAGGGATAAGTAATCTTATTTTTCAGCCCATGAGAAAGCAAGTAGCAGGTGTGGAAAAACATGACTGGTGTGGAAAGTGTATCTAGAAATTCACACTTCCTCCCCCAAAGAGCTGGTTTGTAGATATCATTGAAAGATGGTATTTGTAGGCAGCATTGCAAAGGCAAATGGGAGATATTTCTTCTACAACACCTACTGAAGACTTTGCTGGTAAGTAGTATAGATAATGAAGGATGAAACTGTTGCAGGCAGGAAAAAAAACCAAAAAAAAGGCCCAGATAAATTAATGAGGAAAAAAAAAAGAAAGCATCAAGAACCAACAAACACTATTGGCGCAGCTATTTGTTTAATATAAGTAGATGGTTACTTGCTTTGGAAAATGAATCACTGGTAAAATTGCCTGGAAAAAAGATAATCTGCTTCTTCCATGGTCTTCTGAGCTCAGAGACAGGATATCACACTGGATAGACCCCTCATGTGCTGCATTTGCTGTTCATTTGAGTTTGCATTTAGGTCCACAATGAAATTAGACAATAGGGTTGGGAACTGGACCCAGGCCTTCCACATGCAACAAACAACTGTATGCTATCCCTTAACTGTGAAGGGAAAAAAAGAAAAGATAATTTTTGGCCCTCCACAATACCTTATGCTTGTTATGCTTGTTATGTGATGTAAGTATGAGTAGCTATACTTTACACATTTCCAGTAAAAATGTAGGTCCTGAGGAAATTAAGTTTCCCTCTCGTGAGCATAGTATCATCTGAGCATTGCACATCTGAGCTGTGATTTTTTGCCTATTCACAAAATGATCTTTCTTTGGCAAACTCGAAGAAATATTTTTACATTGTAAATTATGATGTTTCCCTAATTCTTTAAAAAGAAGTTACAAAGCTAAAGGCCTCAGTTTGTGTGCACTCAGCCTCTCCTGAGTGTGCATTTCACATTGATATTAACATTGATAACTTGGATATTTGAGAAAATACCACCTCTACTGAAGTGTTAATAAAACTTTTCAATTCATCAAGGCATGTGAATTAAAGAACACGGTGAATTAAAGAACATTGATGAATTAGAGAACGTCAATACTCTCTTTTGATCTTCCTGGGGAATCACAATGTCTTCCAGACCTTTATTGTTGAGCTAGTTTCATTGCTGGGTGTAATTCCACAACTCTTGTGAGTTTACACCAAACACTCTTTAAAACAAGCATTATCTTCCCTTCTAATATCTGTCAAGTACAATCAAGCTCTGATCCTAATTAGGGCCTTAGTCCCTGTTGTCATCTTAGGTAAATAAATACTAATGCTGTAATGATCGTTGGGGAATAAATTATATGTATTCAAATTAAACATCTGAGCAATTGAAATGAGGGTGTTTCCTAAATAAGGGGAATTCTTGGCTCTTGGACTATTTCCAGAGAGAGTTCTAATGCATCACTACCTTGAAATATCCTTTGCTGCTCAAGACTCCTGATTTGGACTTTGGATGCATCTGTACTTCAGCTGACAGATAAAACATTATGTTACAGTTTTGGTGGGGGTTTTTTTGGGTTTTTTTTGAGTTTTGTAGTATTTTTGCTTGATTTTTGTTTTTCGTTGTAATTTCTTTTTTTTTAAATCACGCTTTCTCAGTGTACTTACATTGTGTTCTTCCTTTCTTTTTCCTCCTTTCTGGACTCAAGCAATATTGTTTTGCAAGTTTCCATTCTTCTTGGATGGTATCAGGTGTCAGTGATGGAGACTAAATTCACTAGTGATGTTTAGATACTGAGATTACTGTAGTCTCTTTTAAGTTACAGGTTAAATGGATAAACTTCTGTGACTGTCATTATTGACATAGCAGATGTCAAAACCTTTGTCAATTATTGGAAAAGTTTCCCTACTACTCTTCCCTAGCACCCATTTTTGACAGCAGGCTTTGAGCTGGCGACACAAACCTTGATGCAAACTATGATACACAAAACTTCTCTCAGGCAGCTGTTGCAATATCTCAGTTGGATAGCCCTGAATTTAAATGTTTTCCATGGCTTTGTTCCTTTTCCCTGCTATTGCTATAACTCTCTCCTGCTAGGTTAATCTTTTTTTTTCTTTTGCATTTGCAAGTCTTCATCTTTCCCAGAGAGTGGCAAACCTGTCAGTGACACTCAGGAAATTGCCTGATTTTACACAGTCCTCAGACCCTGATGCTGAAAACTGAGTGTCTGTCTCCATTTACAACACACAGGAGAAAAGATTTGTAGCTCTCAGCCTCATCCTTCAGGAGTAACCTGGGCAAAGTGCTTTCATGAAGGAGGTCACATGCAAGAAGAGCAAAAGAGAAGTAGCCCAGGGTGTTAAAACTGTTTTGAACAGGACTTTTACTCTCTCCTAGTACAGCTTCTTGTGCATGAGAGTCTGGATCTGTGGCTGGACTCCTAGGCATCTTCATAAGATAAACAATAACAGATGCTTTTCCTGATGAAAGCAATTTATTAACAGGACTACTCTGATTCCTCCAATTTGATTTTAAGACTGGATAATTCCCTGACTACTTCTTTGCATCACCAGAAGGTAATTTAAGTGTTTTACATAGTCTTTCTGGCACTGTAAACTAAAATATAATGCCTACTAACAATGAGACAATTTAACATCAACAGAGTGATTTTTTGAGAGAAAAAGAAAAGTATTTCAACCCAAATTCAGCAGAGGAAACTGCCACAGTGATCAGTGATAAATCGCTAATGACAGAGGGCTGTACTTGAGAGAAACTTCCCCCTTTTCTTCAGAGGTTGGTCTCTGAAGTATGTTGGAGCCTGTTCCTAATCACAAAGTGCTAGTAGCACTTTCAAGCAAGAAAAACCTCCAAAGGCCTACTGTTCACACAAGTAGTAACATTAAAAAAAGCCCATTCACACAGAGATTGCAGTCGAAACAGGTGAAAAGTCAAGAGAGTGTAAAGCATTGGTCTAAACTATACAGATGAGATTGAGATGAGATTGAGATGAGATTGAGAGGAGAGGAGATTGAGATGAGACGAAGAGGAGAGGGAAGGGAGGGAAAAGGAGGGGAAGAGAGGGGAGGAGAGGACTAGATCTCTTAACATGCAATAGCCAGTAATTTGCAAGTCCTACTAGCTTTTTCTGTCCTCATCCTTGCGCATCTCAGTTTCTGTGAGTCCTGAAACATTTTCAGTTGGCCTAAGTGAAGAAAGAGAAGCTCTGAAAGACTAAAGAAATTGTCTCATAATAAGGGAAATGATAAAACTCTTCTTTAGGTAAGAACTCAATAGAAAATGCACGACTCTTTATTTGTTCTAAAACTTTGCATTTCTTTTCAGCTGGATACAAGCTGGACACAATATAGCAGGAATCCTAATAGTCTGGGTTCATAGTGAGATCTGGTTAATACCAACCGTAAGAATGCAGTAGATAGGCTTTGAGTATATCAGTTTGTTAGAGCTTATAAGTGACTTCAGTATTTAATCAAACCAGAGGTTCATCTACAGGAGTGAAGAGGCACATGTGCAGGAAATGCATTCAAAAAACAAGGTGAATCTTTTCATAATTCCTGTTCCTAGCTTCTATTGTGCTTTGTGGATTCTCTCACCATATACAGCATCACGTTAAAAGCACATCAGTGCTTCTGTCTTCCATAATTTTTTTTCTAATTCATTTTGAGCTCATTATTATATTAGTGTGTTTCCTGTGCCCTGTAGTAGTTCCACACCTTAACTCTGTATCATAGGCAAATGTGGTGGGTTCACCTTGGCTGAATGCCAGGTGCCCACTCAGCCGCTCTATCCTTCCCCTTCCCAGTCAGAAAGGGGAGAGGGTAAGATGGGAAAAAAAACCAACACAAATCGTGGGTTGCGATAAGGCAGTTTATATTTATGCAAAAAAGAAAGCAAAAGCAGTGTGTGCACGCACAAAGCAGAAGCCCGCAGTTAATCTCTACTTCCCATAAGCAGCAATGGTTGGCCACTTCTCTGAGAAGCAGGGCTCCAGCACACGTAACAGCTGTCAGCAGGCAGATATCAGAGACAGTGAGTGCCTCTGGTCCTGCTCCTTGCCTCAGCTTTTATATCTGAGCCGATGTCATATGGTATGGAATATCCCCTTGGTCAGTGTGGGTCAGCTGGCTCACTTGCATCCCGTCTCAGGATCTCACCCTCCCACTGAAGGAGGAATGTTACAGTACTGGGCTCAGCAGTAGCCAAAACATAGGTGTGTTATCAACACTCCTGTAGCTACCAACGCAGAGGGCAACTATGGGGAAATAAATTCCAGCTCAGTCAGACCA